TAATACCCCTAAAACAATATTATAGATTAGTACAAAATACAATAATCCCAATAATTGCATTTCTAGGTTCAAGACCCATTTCTCTCAACTGGCGTACAATGAAAAAAAGAAATACTACTACCCCGCAATGCCTGGAGTGTTTGAGGAGCGCCAGCAGGAGATGGCTGACTTCTTCCATGAATCTCTAGCCCAACCATTTACACGTGGCGACTACAAGGAGCTGGTAGAGCTTTGTCTGCTGCTTGTAACTAAAGGATCCGAGCCAGTGAACTTCACGATGGTCTACCCCGGCGCACTTCACAAAGCAAGGTGGATGGCTAAACTGCTCTATACCCTCAAGATTGTTCTTTTGTCAGGCCAGATCAAAGAGCAGTTCCCAAAACCGAGGTTGTGACTAAAAGTCAAATCAGTAAGTTAGAACAGTTGGCTGTGTTCACAGTCGCTGTTTATGTCCCATGGTGGAGTGTTTGCCCCATTCCAGCAAGTGCGCCACTGAATGACTTGAATTTGGTCGAAACCTTGGCTGAATTTGCCCCATATGACGCCACAATAGTTGACAAAGCACGTGTGGCACTCGGTAGACACACTTGGTACCTAACTGAGGAGTTGGCCCCACTGGCTTTGTTCTCGTCCCAAGTACAAGAAAGGACAAAAGAGGAGATGAGGAAGGCCCTTCTATGTCATGAAGGCACTGAAGTTACTAAGAGAGCGGGGCACAATCATGGGGGCTATGGAAAGCCATATCTTCCCTCTGTCCCAGAAAGTGGCACTGCCCTGGTGGACCTAATTGGGCCTGACTCAAGCCGGTTCTTCACCATTTTAGGCATGCCCTATCAGTTTCTCCACAGTCCAGCCAGTGAATGGGCGGATCATGACGACTACCTGAACATGAAACGGGTTGTGGACAAGCTTCAGGTCGTCAATGAGGCTGCAGAGCGTGGTGTAAAACTTTGCCATGACTTTCTTAATGTTGCCAGGGATGAGGAGCGCTTTCAAGAAGTCCTTCAAGTAGTTGAAAATGACAGACTCCGCGTTCCTAATCAGCGCAAACGATCATCTGTTTCCAAACAGAAATCATGGTTTCTTGCTCTAGAGAAATAATACCTTGTGGATATATGATAAAACCCCTTAATGTACCATGCGAGAATAAGAATGATTAACTTTTTTGTGTTAGTGATAATAGCTTTTAATTAAGACAGGCAAATGATTTGTGTTAATATCCCTTATGATGGTTGTGTAATCTCATATACAGTGGGGTATGCTATAACAAATCTAATTGGTTCTAGAACCTAGTTCGTTATAGCATTCGTTCGTTATAGGATTAATCCGTTCCAGGCCCCCAAATACAACCACTTAACACTGAAAAAATTCTGTGGAAAATGCAAAAAATAGGGTACTTTATCTTACCTAGTGTTGTTCAGTATGCAGGACAGGAGGCAGAGGGGGAGGGGGGAGAAGGAGAGAATTATGGAGAAGAGGTGGAAGGAGAGGAGTCATCCTTCCTAGCCCTCTTTGGTGACATTCTCACAGGCACTTTGTCTGTAGGTTCTTTTGTTACCTATGTAAAGAAGGAATCCAGGGTTGCCTGCTTCAACCTTGATTTCTGGACCTTCCAAAAGTAGTTCATAACATTGTCATTAAACACACTGATGGCCTTTTGCACAGAACCAACATCAGGATGATAATCCTCAGCAAGTTTGGACAGTTTGCTCCAGCAAAAGAACGCATCCTTGAGATCTTTGGCTGGAATGATGCGGCTTTCCTCCTTGTCCTCCTCCTCCCGACTCCTCAGAAGTTAAACTCCGCTTCAGTGTCTCGTTTTGTTCTTTGTGAAGCTCAAGCAGCTCCTCAGTGGACAGTTCCTTACTGTGCTCTTCCACCAACTCCTCAACATCATCATCATCCACTTCCAGGCCCATGGAATTGCCCAGAGACACAATTTCATGAATATCAGCCTCTTCTTCTAACTCTTCGAAGCCTTCAAAGTCTCTTTGAAGCACACATTCAGGCCACAATGGCCTCCAAGCAGCACAAAGACACCTCACAGTAACCTCTTTCCAGGCTGAGGTAATTAAATAAACAGCATCTGCTATATTGAAGTGACTCTTCCAGAATTCCTTCAAGCTAACATCACTGGAAGAAGTGGATGCAAAACATTTTCTAAACAGTGCCTTTGTGTACAGCTTCTTAAAGTTGGAAATTACCTGTTGATCCATGGGCTGGATGAGAAGTGTTGTGTTGGGTGGCAAGAAGTGCACAGTGATGAAGTTGAACTCCTCTGGCAATTCAACCATTAAATTAGGAGGATGGGCTGGTGCATTGTCCATCATCAACAAAGCTTTCAGTGGAAGATTATTCTCCCTGAGGTATTCCCAAACACTGGGTCCAAACACCTCAATCACCCACTCAGAGAATAAATTCCTCGTCACCCAAGCCTTTGGGTTTGACCGCCACATAACACCAAGGCGGGTCTTCCTAATGTTTTTGAAAGCTCTGGGGTTTTCTGCATGGTACACAAGGAGTGGCTTTATTTTGCAGTCACTAGAAGCATTAGCACAAAGAAGGAGGGTAAGCCTGTCTTTCATTGGCTTATGGCCAGGGACAGAAGTTTCCTCCCTTGTAATGTATGTACGGCGAGGCATTTTTTTCCAAAAAAGTCCTGTTTCATCACAGTTGAATACCTGCTGAGAAACAAAGCCTCCCTCTTTAATAACATTCAAAAAAATGTCATGGTGTTCCTTAGCTGCTTCCTTATCTGCACTAGCAGCATCACCATGTCTCACAACACTATGTAATTTATTTCTCCTTCTGAAACCAGTAAACCACCCCTTGGTACCCCTAAACACTGGCACATCACTATCACTTGCACTGGGATTCTTGGCTTTAAGGTCCTCAAACAATTGTCTGGCCTTCTCACAAATTATAGCTTCACTAATGCTATCACCTGCCATTTCTTTCTCCTTTATCCACACTAAGAGTAAATTTTCCGTCTCCTCAATCACATTACACCTTGCTTTGCTAAGTCTAGAGATTCCCTTAGCCACTTGCACAGTTTTCAACTCCTCTTTATTCTTTAAAATCGTATATATAGTCGATTTAGCCATCCCATACTCATCACTTAGTTTCGAAATGCTTGTTCCATCCTCACGTTTCTTTATGATTTCTTTCTTAGTTTCAAGAGTTATGAGCTTTCTCACTCGCTTTGGACGATTCATTGTCACAATTGTACACTTATATAACAAAATATTTATACAAATAACTCTATTTCCGCATCAAAAGACGAAATTTCAACAATTACCGTGGTGCACTGGCTACACAATGAGACAAAGATGGTGCCTGATGCTCTTGTTGTGAGCCACTGTACAACAATATTCATGCGCCAGACGAAATAGTCCCGTATTCATCCGCATTCGTTGTAGGAGTTGCGTTCGTTATAGCATTCTCAATTTTATAGGTAAAACCGTTCGTTATAGGAATATTCGTAGAAGGATCCGTTCGTTATAGCATACCCCACTGTATAGGCGTTTATGCCATATAAGCAAGATCGTTATTTTTCAAATTGCTGGTGCTCACTCAAATATGCATGAATCTTAAAAAAATTGCACATGGGTATTTTTTATGTCAATATGCAACACCAAAATTTTGAACAGCCTGTTAGGACAGGCCAGGAATCCAATGCTCCATTTGTTCATTTGAGGGATAATAAGCATTGCATTGACTGGGATAATGCCTCCTCAATATTACCTTGTAATTCAATTGACAGTCGGAACATTATAGAATCCAGCCTCATTAAACATACCGAAGCATTCAACATGAATTTGAGTAATGGCATGTACAAACTGGACAATTTTGTAATTAAGAAGATTTGTAACCAGGTGAGAAGATTGGGTCACCTTACCCTCTGACCTGAATACCAACCGTTGCGGTGCTATTTAAAGATTAGTAGGGTCATTACCTAATACCTGACCATTGTGGACCTGGTCTTACCCTCCTCTGTATATATACACCTTGTTTTGTATTTCTCTTTAGTCTGTACTCACCCCTGAAGATGTGAATTACACGAAAGCGCTTGGGAACTTCGTGTTTTCTTCTTTCCTTGTGGTTATCAGCATATACCATATATATATATACCTATATATATATACTATATATATATATATATATATATATATATATATATATATATATATATATATATATATATATATATATATATATATATATATATATATATATATATATATATATATATATATATATATATATATCCCAATGTACCCCATTAACATTTAATTTTCAATTTCTTGAATATTAATCTCCAGAAGGAGCAGTACAACTCCAAACTACAAATTTAGAACTTTCCTAATGAAATATACTTTGCACCATAATGACTTCTGAATCAAAACACTATGGTAGCTATATCACTTCTGTTTTACTTACCTGATTGCATCAAGTGTCCTGAAGAGATGAATGTAGCTGATGTCAAACACATGTGTTGGATGGCACAGAAGGAGCAGATGAGACACTGAAAATAATACCAGAAGACTCCGAGCATATCCCAGCTTCAGGCTTGACCACGCCATCAAGAAACCCTAGAAAGGAGGTTTTCCACAATGTAAGTGGACTTGGGAACAGGTTATCTGTGATGCAACTCTCCATACTAGTCCAGGGAATGTGGCTGTAGTAACACACCTACTTATATTTAGTCATTAAAATTAACAGAAGGTAAGTTAAAATATGATGCAGGAGGAACATGAATGTCTATTTAATCAATATAATGTACTGTAGGCTCTGACCCTTTAGCTGAATAAAATCATCTGGCGTTAGCCAAAATAAAATACCCAAGAATGGAGCTGCCCTCTAAAGGGTTAAGGGGACCTATTAGAAAATAAAGAGGATAGACTGATAAGAAAGAAAGAGGATGTACATTCGCTACAGAAAGTGTTTGAGAGGTGAGGTCCGATAGATGTTAAAATGAACACAGCAACTCCAGTTGTCTCAGTAGGGTTGTCAAAATCCCTCATCCATTGTGTCATATTGTCTACCAAAAAATTTTGCAGTTACTTTTTGTAGCAAGTGTACAGCATTGCAGAGATAAAAGGTGATTGGGATAATATTAGAACTGCTAAATATAACCGAGGGAAGAGATGCAATTACCCAGTTTATGATGTGATGGGCTAAACATTGTTAAAAGAAGGAAAAAAGTAATATGGGAGGAGGAGGCGAGACTGGTCAGCAAGTGTACTAAGTGACAGAATGAACGACTGAACTAGTATGACATTTATACTTCCCCTGTATAAAGACAGCTCTAGGAGAAAAAAAAAATTAAAGAGGAATTAATTTGTTGAATACCCGGTAGATCAGGATACAGTGGGGTATGCTATAACGAATCTAATTGGTTCTACAACCTTGTTCGTTATAGCATTCATTCGTTATAGGATTAATCCGTTCCAGGCCCCCAAATACAACCACTTTTAACACTGAAAAATACAGTATTACCCCGCCTAACGCGGTTTCACTTAACGCGTTTTATCATATACGCGTGCCTCGCCAGAGCTGAACTTTCACTTAACACGGATTTTTTCCACATATACGCGGTGAGTGTCCGGCTCGAGACGCTATTTTTAGATTTGCCCCACCCGCCACCCTGCCTGACTGCCTGTTTTAGCTCATAAAATTCATACAAATTGCCCGGTCAGAATATAATTTACATTGCTGGAATTCTTATAATTTGGTGATCATTTTGAATATAAACATCATATATTTTGCATTAAACATACAAATTTTAGATAAAAATTTTTCTCTAGGTAACTATGTTATCTTTTGTGCAAAATATATGACATTTATATTCAAAATATTCCTGGTCTTACAAGGAATCCAGCAATGTCAATTGTATTATCCTAACTTTAGTTTGAGGTATTATTTATTAAAATTTAGTGGTTTTCCCCCAAAAATTTCTCAGAGGGAAGAGCCGGCAGTGTAGTGTGAGAGGGGGAGGGAGTTGAGTCCATTATTTGAATGGACATTAACTTGGCGACTGTATTTCTCTATTTCTCTTAAGTATTAATTGTGTGCATGTACCATCATAAAATTAAGATGTTATTTTTACTACAACATAGGTATGTGCCTTCAAAAAGTGGAGTTTGGGGGTCGGGCCGGTTTCTATTGGAATTAATCCCATATGTTCTGTTGTTCACTTAACGCGGATTTCACTTAACACGGGACCCTCTGGGTTCTATTGACCGCTGCTAAGTGGGGTACAACTGTAGTATAAAATTGTAAAAATTGTAAAAAAGTGCATAAATATGCATCTAAACTCCTGAAATAAAGAATATCATTAATACTTGTAATAAAAAAAACAATAAATTAGTAAAAAAAAAAAATTACTGTTAGTTATAGGAATTTCGTTCGTTATAGCATTCTCAATTTTATAGGTAAAACCGTTCGTTATAGGAATATTCGTAGTAGAATCCGTTCGTTATAGCATACCCCACTGTAAGTTTAAACTGACAGGATCATTATCAAGAGAATTGTAGCAAAATCAGTGAGTACAGTATTCAAGTTAGAGCAGCGTGGGTTATGAACAGGAAGATGACGTATTAAAGAACATGAGAAAATTCTGCATGTGGTAGATGGGTCAGCAACTGTTTGGAGATTGCCACATCAAATAATTCTGAGTCATATTGTGGCCTCCTTATTGTACTCTTGTACCTCAATATATCTTATTATCTAATTTTGCTCTGATTCTGGTCAAAGGAATCTTTAAATTACAATTCACTTGACACAGTACCATGAGATAATAACAAAATTTAAATGTTCTTCCCAAATACTTGTTTATCTATGATGCATTTGTTGACTCAGAATTGTTTGGACATAATATTATCAATTTCTGCATAACAGTGTAATAAAGGGTTTATATAGGAAGTAGAATTCTGACTATGGTAAGAAAGTAGAGTATAAACAAACCCATACTATACATTACTTTCTCTTGGAGCTGTTGGTGCATGTTCTCCAGGGAAGATATCAGAGCAGAAGTGTCATAAGCACCAGTTAGGTGCAAGTAGATGACTCTTCTCCCTGGGTCATAATAGCCCTCTACTCCTGTCTGTTGGTGGGACAACAAAACACCAAGTTAATTACAGTACTTATACAATATTAGTTTTTTACACTGACTTACTTTCTATCTATCAATATATCTATCTTATTATATCTCTCCTACTTTTTTGTCATGTGTATTAAAGTGTACCACATATCCTAAGTTGACATGTACTGTACAATTAATTATTTTAAAGCACAGCAAAACAATGTAGATATTAAAGACTTACTATGTACACTGCTATTGCAAGTTTGTTACATAAAACAACTATGTTTTGATAATTCACTTGTTTGAGCTTCTTCCTGTCACTTTTTATACTTGTCTTACACTGTTGTTCATATTATTTATCTTCTTCTTTGAGTTTTCTTCAACCCTTGATACACCTCACACAACAGTGGGAGACGTAAAGACAATAGCCAACAAGGATGAAGGTAAACAAAAACCTCAAGGAGAGGTGTAAAGCTACTGTATAAGGGAGAATAGTGCAAGACATGGAAACATGACAGGAAACATTTGAGAAAACAAGCAGAAATACCCAGTAACATTTGCTCATATTTTCAGCTTGCGAGTGCAGTTTACAAAGTGAAATCTCAGTCTATACTGATGATTGTTCAAAAGGGGATTCTGGTAGTGTACTTGAATGTTCTATGGTTGAAATAAGGATAAAGGATGTAAACCACCTTCAATATTATTAGGAATATATAAACAAATGCATCAATACTAATAACTGGCTCATAACTATACTGAACTGATGCTAAAAGTACAGTACACAAACCATAGTTTCAGGGTCAACAGCAAGAGGTCGTGTAATATCCCTCTGGAAAATCTTTCGTCCAACCATTAACTCAAGGGCTGCAGCCTTGCAGCCCCCAGAGTCCATATTGCTCTTCCCAAAGACAGCCACCACCACAGCACGCTGCTTCCCTGTGAAGTCTCTGAGAATGGGTAAAATGATGTAAATATAATATAATGAACAAATATTCAAAACTAGAGATCATTCTGGTAATATGTCTGTAAAAAACAATGAGATCTATCATACAGTATTTGTATATCTAACATCTTTCCTCATAGGTTTATGGGAAAAAACAAGAAAATACAAATAACCTTCACTGTTTTGGACTAATTTGAGGGAAAGTCATGGCAAAAAATTAAAATTTTCCAAAATTGGAAAGGATTCCATATGCACCTGTTTCTTTGACTTATGCAACAAGTTTATGTAATACCTGCCCAATGAATAATTAAGTGGCCCATCATGTTTTCTCTAAGATAATACTGTACAGTGATCCCCCCAAAAATCAATGCGCTAAAGTATACTTTTTTTTTACCTCATTCCACCCCTCCATGGAAAGTGTGCTTGTGTGTCCTGTACATCACTGGTAATTATACAGAATCCAAGTTGCAGAGTTTAGACTTACAATTCTGTTAATTTAAAATATCCTTAACATAAATTCATCCTTAAAAATGTCAAAATAAATGTATGTTTTTCAGACCACAATGATGGTAGAGCACCACTCTTACCCATGTGGTAGCATGTCATGAAGAGGTCAGCAACAACCTTATACAGTAGTATTGTGTTACAGTATGTTCCAATTTTAAATCATTATGTGAGCCACCACAATATCACCTAGAAAGTGCAAGATTTTGGGTTTCTTCAGAAATCATAAATTCTTACCTCTCAAATGGAGAAATAACAACGTCCCTACTTTGGTTTTTCTCCAGTTTTTAAGAGTAAGTACTGTCCAGCCACACCCAGATACCATATTTACAGTTAAACTGGTGATACGCTTCCCAGTGAGTGATCCCAAAGCTCAGCAACCAAACACTTCCCAGCAAACTTTACAAGCTACTGTATATGTTAACAAAACATCACACCAACCTTCCTATCTAACTACCCTAAAATAATGCACATCCTTTCAGGGATAGGTGTGATACATTAGGTAAGCTTTGGCCAATTGGTTAATCTTCTTTTACAATAAATCATTAGTCGTTGGCAACCACTCGAGGGTACAACGAGAAGCTGTTCAAGTAGGAAATGTTGTCTCCGAAAAAGTACTGGACGGGTAATATGAAAACTGTAGTACAGTAAAACCTTTATGTTTGTTCATATACAGGGTACAGTACAGTATTACAAATTTATGAAAGATTTATAATTGTCTCTAAAAATTTTCAAAAGTTACTTCCAGTTTTTCGTGTGTACAGAAAGGAAGTGTTAATGTTTATGAAATGTTTGTTTTTCAACTCTTGCATGAACAGCTGATAATGGTGGGACCATGGAGGTGGTGCAGGGACACAGTTTGTGGTCAGGAAAAAATATGGAAAGTTGCAATTCCTTCATTTTCTTTACATTCAAGAGATAAGAAACAATTTTCTCACAGATTTTTTAATCCCAAATTTGTTCATCTACATAAGTTGGTCATCTTGAGTCGAGACTGTTACCCATAAGAACTGTAGATTACTGTATTTATACACTTACTGTGGAGTCCGTGATGTTGGGAGAGTAAAGTGGCCATGGTGTGCAGACAGATCCTCCTCCACCTTAATCTGTAAAATTAACAATAAGAATTTTGTCACAACCAAGGGTAATGATGTTATTTAAAATATTTTAGCATTTCCAGAATATTATAAAATGTAAACAAAAAATAAATAAATAAATAAAAATTATTTTCTGTATAACATATTGACTCATATGTTGGTTTTAATAAACAGAATGCAAATTGGGTGTTGAAGAAAGAGAAACTGTGAGTATGAACTAAAATACACAGTAAAATGTTAAAGGTCTCTTATGAAATACTGTAGTACTGTACTGGACTGTATCGTTTGTGTGTCCTAGTGGAACCAAATGATTTCTGACAGCAGACAAAATGAACCAACCAAACCTTCTCTAACAATCTTCAGATTTTTTTGTTAGTTGGGCTCTCTGATTTATTTCTTGGGCTTTCAGGTGTGATTTAGCCCAAGAAGAGCTGTTCTTGTATGCACTACAGTGTACTTTCTTGTGTTCTAATGTTCATCACAGGAAAAACCCTTAAGTTTACAAACTTACTGGGTTGGGATGCTTTTATGGTGAGCAATACAGTAGCATTTTGTAATCTTAAAAATATTCAATTTGTTTGTGACCCTAATCACTCGCACCATTCAGAAGTGCCCTTCACAATTAACAGAACACAGCAGATTTTTGGTGCCACTAGATACAATCAATTCCATAATGTATCTTTACTATTTTATGTGACACAACATGACAACAGATGAATAATTTTGACAACCCTACTGAGACAACAGGAGATGCAGTGTTCTTTTTGAAATTCACATGACTCTTTCATAAAGCTACTTTTTGGAGTGAGTGTACTACTGTAATCACAAGGGTGTAGGCGCACGGGTCGGGTCGTGTTGCGTCTCTAACAAAGCGTGTTCAGAATTCGGGCCTTCGTTGTTGAGCGGCAGGAATTGGACAGTGATTACATAAGAACATCAAGATCGTCTTAGTGATGTGAAAGTGTAAATCGATGTAGGATTTTTAATGCAAGATACGATTGTATTTTTGAAAACTCAATTTCCACTGAGTTGGAGGTACAGCCCAGGTCAGGAGGCCTACAACCACAAAATCATTGCCATACGACAAAACTTTTATTCTTTTACAGAGTTGTGGTCACGACTCTGATAAAAGTCAACCAGGGAGTGTGGGACTGTGCTTTTAGGTAAATCAGTTCATAGAGTCATCAGTGACCGCAGAAGAGGTTGTAAATAACTTAAAGTGAATACAAACTGGCTAGCAAGCTGGTAAGGCACCACTGCCAGCAGAGACCAAGTCGTGTCATAGGTGCCACAGAGACTTTCAATTTTATTTTGATTGTGTGCTTTCTCAAGGACTGAAACTGTGCCTACAATACACCATTCACAGGGAGATACAGTGTAATGTGTTGTCTAATGGTAGATCCTGCTGCCATATGGCATCACGAAAATTGTGTCCAAGTCCCAGGTTACTGATCTGACTTCTGCCTCATTTACACACAATTGCAGGGTCTCAATTGTTTTTCTTACTATTCACAACACAACATACATACAGTTTCTCACTTTTTTTTTTAATTTTTGCATTTCTTTATGGTTCTTTATTATTATTATTATTATTATTATTATTATTATTATTATTATTATTATTGTTTAATATTATTATTGTTTATTACATTTTCTCCCCCCCCAGGACCCAATGTGGGTCAGTGACCTGTGCCCGGGTGGGATAATCCCGTAAATAAGAGATTTACTGTAGTCGTTGATGAGAACGGGAAAAGAAAGTACCTGTATAAGGAAATAATAGTTAAAATAAAAAATAAATAAATAAAATCAATAAGCTTGGCTATCCTAAAAGGCATTCTATTACTGCCCCAAAGAAAGATTTATTTTATTTTTCTGTGTTTCTAAAGGACTGAGTGGGTGTATAAAATCCGTTATTCATAGCAAAATGCAGTGAACATAGATAGCACATAAATACCGACAAATCGCCGTAGTGAACTGAAAAAAGAAAAAGAAAAAAAAGAAGAAAAACAGAAGACATCCCTAAAGGCAACAGGGGAGGTAAAACCAGCAGAGGGCAGCTAAGAACTGTTTTGTTTTGTTTTTATGTTTATTTTTAAACAGGTGTAGATCTTTACACAGTCTGCACCCCACATCAACAACAATCATGAGGGATATGATGATATGTGACTACTGCGGGAGGATGACGGATATGGATGATACAGACCTGACTAAGGCAACGTTTAGGAAGATGCAAACTGCCGTAAAGCATGAAGGCTGTTGCTGGTATTGCCCTGACTGCATAGTCAAGGTGAAAGAGGCGATTGCAAGCCATAGGGGAACGAGTTCCCTAGGGAAGAAAATAGATGAAGCTGGAGCCTTGCTGGTTGCCAAACTAGAGCAAGTTGGAAAAGAGATCCTTGCTAAGACTGAGGAAGTAGCCGATAGAATGGAGGTGGTTGCTAAGAGGAGTTATGCTGAGGCATTAGCAGGGCCACGGGAGGTGGTGGAGAATAATGCAGGATCAGAACAGGTTCTACAGCAGCTAGGGACTCTGAAGAAGTGTGAAGGAGAAATGAAAATTAACGGACCTACTGTTAGGGGAGAGGAGGAACAACAGGAACGTTTCCAGCACAGAAACAATGTAATTTTTTTTGGAGCCCCTGAGAGCCAGGCAGAGGGAACTGAGAGCAAGATAACACACGATAAGATGCAGTTTAAGAATATTTGTACAGAGGTTCTGAAGATGCCATAAGCCCCTCAGGATGTGAGGAGGCTGGGACAAAAGCAGGGGAATAAGCCTTGGCCCCTCAGGATCGCACTAGTGAGTGAGGAGGAGAAATGGGAGGTTATTCAGCAGGCAAAAAAATTAGCAAGGAGCGAGGCATTTCGGAGTGTATTCATTCATCCAGATCGCACGGTAATGCAGAGGGAACAGCACAAGAAGCTCCTGCAGGACTTGAAGCAGAAGAGGGAGGAGTCAAGGAGGAACGAGTATGGGTGTACACGGGTTATATTCAGGGAGAGGGTAGTGGAAGCAAGTGTGCCAACACAGAGCCAGGGGGCAGCAACGCACCCTCCACCCGCCCTACCCCCCACCAGGGAGGTGGCACCAGCTCCGCCTACCAGCCTGGAGGAGGCGAGCGCCTTGTAAACAATGACATTTCTAACCACGCCCTGCAAAATACAGTGTACTTAGCAAATGCTGCAGCTTCTGAGAATTGGGGGGGGGGGTTACTACTAAGAGCAGAGACATTACCGAGAACAAATTCTGGCTTGAATGTCATGTTCGCTAATACTGACACGTTCCTTGATAAGACAGGGGAGTTTGAATCACTGCTGAAGGTTCACCAACCAGAGATTGTAGGAGTTGTAGAACTGTTGTACAAGAACAGGAGAATCAACCCAGAGAAATTTTAGTTCAGTATTGCTGGATATGACTCATTTACAAACCTTTCTCAAGAAATTTGCAAGAGGGGTGTGGTTATCTATGCTAGGCAAGAACTTAGAGCCAGCTAGGCAAGGGTACAGGGAGAGGATGTTTTGAAGAGTCCAAGAGGTGTAAAATTTAATTAAAAGGAGGGGACTTACTTATCGTGGGGTGTATCTACAGATCCCAAAACTGTGGCCCACTAAATCAAAAGAACTTAAGAGCCTTAATAGACAATGCGGCAATGCTCAACCTTAGCCACCTCCTTATCATGGGGGACTTTAACTATGGCGACATCGACTGGAGAAACGAGTTCACCCTAAATGACTTGAATAACCCTGCTACTCTTTTTGTAGAAACTCTGAGAGATAATTTTCTGTTCCAACATGTTAGGGACCTGACACATTACAGAGGGGAGCACACACCAAAGCCACTGGACCTCATCATAACAAACGAGGAGGGTATGGTGGCCAAACTGGAACACCTTGCCCTAGTTGGCACCAGTCACCATATAGAGTTGTCATTCAGATTTAACTGTTACCTAGTTCAAGATAAGGCCTGGCCAAGGTGCAAATATTACAAGGGAAATTACAACGGGATGAGGGGTATCCACTGGCCTGACTCATTAAGGCACAAGAACGCAGATACTACGCTGAATATCATAACTAGTAATGTGACCAATTTGATCGATAAATATATAGGTACCCAAGACCAAACCCAGTGCCTCTAGGACTGCGAGAGGAACCCTACACATGCGGCTGTTGACAAAGTTAAGAAGAAAACCCAGAAATTCAAGAGTGAATCAAGGCATGGGTTGGGTCAAACGATGAGCAGGAGAGGAGGATATATGCAAGAGCTAGAAACCAAGTAAAGATAGAGTGTAGAAGGACTGAAAAGGAGTTCCAGAGGCTGGTTGCAAGCGAGGGCAAGTGAAACCCAAAGGTGTTTTACCGCCATGCAAAGTCAAAATTAAAAACGCGAGTAGAAGTATCAGACCTGAGGCTTGAAGATGGTAGTTATGCAGATTCTGACCAGGATAAAGCTGAGGCATTGAACAGCTTCTTTTCCTCAGTGTTCACAAGAGAGGATGCGATTAACCTTCCTGCGTTTGAGGACAGACGGTTCGACACAGCACTGACCCACATTGTGTTCACAGAAGAGGGTATTAGAAATAAACTGTCAAAGCTAAAGGTCCATAAGAGTCCCGGCCCTGACATGGTGCATCCCAGAGTGCTAAGAGAGTTGTGCAACGAGCTTGCCGAGCCCCTGAAGATCCTGTTTTGTAAATGCCTGGATGAACAAAAGGTCCCTAGTGAATGGAAAGTGGCTTATGTGAGTCCTATCTTCAAGAAGGGCGATCATCACTCCACGAACAACTATAGACCGGCGAGCCTGACCAGCATAATATGTAAAGTACTTGAGAGTATTATCAGAGATGCCGTGATGGTACAGTACATCTACTACGAAATAACCTTGTAAAGGGTTGCCAACACAGTTTTATGCTGGGGCACTCCTGCTTAACACAATTGCTCAAGGTATTGGATATTTGGACCCATATATCGACAATATATACCTAGATTTTACCAAGGCTTTCGACAGTGTACCCCACGAAAGACTGAAAATCAAACTGGAAGGGTACAGAATTCGGGGAAATGTCCTAGCGTGGATAGAAGACTTTCTACGTGACCGCGCACACACACACACATGTATAAAATACAGGCAAAGGAAATTACTGTCTCTAGAATGAATGGCTCCCTGTCCCGCCGCAAAAATGCCGGCAACTTTAAACTACCCACAGACATTCTTGGGTACAACCAGGGTGTCATCCGCGAATAATAGAGAACAGCTAAATAAAAATCCACGAATTATCCAGGTGTACTGTACTAGAGCAGATGGTTAACACCAGAATGAGTTGTTCAATTTCATAATTTTTTTTTTCACAGCTGTTCTTTGGATAAGACTAAGTAATAAAAATAATATGACAACTTTTACTTTTAATTATAAGTATTTTTTTCTATCAACACAACAATCATATATCACCTGCAGTGGGCAGGGCATTAAGGATGAAGGAAATTGTGGGGTAAATCACAGTGTAAAAATTATCATGACACTAAAATGATGTCTCTACATGCTTTGTATGTGAAGAAATTAATTACTTTTCAAAAATATTTTCTGAAGAATCTGCCATTGTCGTGCCAACTCTCACGTCCACAAAAAACGTACAATACTCCATGATGCTTTGACAAAGTTGCTTTCATTACTACCAGATATCAAAATCAGCATTTTGTTTAATACTGCAGGAGAGTCCGCTAGAAAATTAGGTAAGGTTAGGCAGGTTTCTTTGGTTAGTTAGGTCAGGTTCTATTAGGTTCTGTACACTGTCATATTGTTTTTATTACCGTCATCCAAAGAACATCTGTGGAAAAAATTAACAAAATGAAACAAAGCATTCTGGTGTTTGCCAACTGCTCCAGAATTACTTGTAAAAATAGTAAAAGTGAAATTATATATAGTGCATTACTCCATAAATTTTTGTCAGTTTCTCAAGGTTGTTAAGTTTTCATCTTTGGTAATCTTGGAGCAGATGGTTAACACCAGAATGCGTTATTCAATTTCGTTCATTTTTTCCATAGATGTTTTTTGGACGTTCTTAAGAGCAATTTCCTCAACTTGGTGCTAAGGCTGAACCACTCTACTCTCAATAATACCAAATATTGGTGTAGTTAGTTACTGGGTCTGGTGCAGGAGGAAACAAATTTGAAATTGAACAGGAGGCAACAAGTAAGTCATGGCCTCAGTGTCCTTGGCGAATTTACAGAAGCCGTCCATGAACTACCAGTAACTTTGACTTTATATGAAAAAATATATAAATAAAAATTCTGGTCAATTTATGAAAGAAGCCAGGTTTCAATATTTCCATAAAAGACATGTTTTTCCTATAGTTCTTGCTGTGATTCAAATGAATCTGAAGTACTAATCACCCTAATCTAACCTAACCAAAACCTGGCTACTACCTTAAATTTACCCAAAAATTTGTTCTTGTTTTAAATGAAACATTGTTTATGTCAATTTCCAAAGTGCTGTACTGAAAGCATGAGGGGCTAATATGGAGGTGTTAAGTTATGCTAGGTAAGCAAGGGTGGATCAAGGGGGGGAGAGGGGAATCCTGGAGGCTCAGACTCCCTTTTCACCATCCAATTCCAATACTGTTTCTTTAATGCAGAATTGTACTCAGGCGCTTTTGTATAGTAAAAAGTGTATATGGCTTCAAAATGGACTCAAAATGTCCGTAATATTGATGATCAGATTTAAAAAAAAAATTCTTTGGGCTTATAACTGGATCCGTCCTTGGTTAGGTTAGGTTAATTTGAACTTTTAAATAAACACTTTTTAACACATTTATCATAACTACGACAGTGTCCACCATAAAACACAGTGAAATTGGGGCGTTTTTAAATTCGTTTTCCATTAAAAATCAGCACCTGTGAAGTAAATAATTACCAATTATATCCTTAAACCACGAGTACATCCAGGTAGCAAATGGTCAATAAACAAAATCCTCTCATAACTACTGGTTTAGTAATGCCTCACTAAATATTTATCTAAGTCATGAAATAAAATATATTCTAATAACACCATCAGCACCACAGCTCTCCAGCCAACCTAATAACATTAAACATCACAGTGCTAAATGGCGTTAAATACACAAATATTTATAAACCACAGCGTTCTGTTGAAATACATACCATATTTAGTAAATCTGCACCTTAATAATACTGGTGTTAACTGCTTCACAGGTGTCAAATTAGAGAATAATGAAGTGGATCAACCATAGTGAAGGTGAGTAAAAGGTTCTCTACAGACAGTACTGAAACAACAACAAACAAGTGTTGCCATATGCTGTACGGGTAGTAAGGGGTGTCAAGGAGCCCTCCACGGGTCCCTCTCCTGTCAGAGATACCCCCCCCCCCCCCCCCCAATGCTTTCGTCCACTGTCTTCTGGGAAACTCACTTTTTTGCGTGTGTATTAATTACTGAATATGTAATTTTTTCACGGTTTTAATTTACAGTTCAGCATGTAGCGTATGGCGCAATTGAGCGCGACATGTTGCACGTATTGACCAACTGAACACAACCACCGACGGTTAATTCTGAATACTGGGTGAACAGTGTTGCCACAACCGAGGTACAAATAATACCCAAATTGTGACAATGTCAACAAATTTCCCAAATTATGCCAATTTAAAACAAATAAACCATAACTTATATTTTCATTAGACATGTGATTTTAGCAATTCCTGGTTTAGTTTTTGTCACTGTTGAGGTATTGGCAATGTTAGAAACGTGCTCTTAGTCAGGTAGTAGCATGTAAAACAAATATGACATTTCATATAGCTGGAGAATCTGCAATCTGTACCGAGGACGACAGTTGTAGCCGAAACTGTTTGGATTATATTTTCGCCTGTCAGGGTGTAGGTATGGGTTTTCTTCTGTACTGTATACAGTATATATATTTAGGTTGCTTCATTTCATATGCACAAAATCTCGCTTTTTCTCTTTGATTATTTATAATTATAATATCCATGTGGGCATTTACACAAATAATCAAATAAGCTGCTCTTAAAACCTTCAAGCAAAGGGATAAACACGTTCTTTTCTTTTATCCTCTTCGCCACTGATCGGCTCGTTAGCCGCTTGGGCGATCAGTCACGTCTCTGTTACTTTTCCTTTTCTTTTATTCTCTTCACCAAATGATCGACTTGTTTGCAGCTTGGGCGATCGGTAACGTCTCTGTTACACACTATTGGCAAATACTGGGCATGCACCGGCTCCTGAATATACCTGAACCTGCTCCAGTGTTGTCTTGAAAGAGCTCACACTCGGTGCCGTCACAACACTTTATGGAAGATTGTTCCAAGAGTTTACAACCCTCACTCCGAAAAAGTTTGCCCTCACAGTTTTCTGGAATTGCAGCTTCTTCAATCTTGAGCTGTGACCCCTTGTGGGGCAAGGGGTGACCTAATTGAGGTATATAAGCATCTCAAGGGGCACTACTCAGTCGAGTGTCCTTACTTGGAGCTGGTAGTTGCTCACCCCACAAGGGGTCACAGCTCAAAATTAAAGAAGCTGCAGGTCCTGAAAACTGTGAGGGCAAACTTTTTTGGAGTGAGAGTTGTGAACTCTTGGAACTATCAACCAGAGTGTGTTGTGACGGCACCGAGTGTGAGCTCTTTCAAGATCAGACTTGACCAACACTGGAGCAGGTTCAGGCTTCAGGTACACTCAATAGTAACATCAACCAATAGCCAACTAACGGCATCTGGAAGGTCCTTGCATGTCAATACAGTATTGCAAATAACAAAAGCTCTGCCTGCCAAAAGTTATCAGTATCTTGGATAAGCATTCTGTAAAACTCCACACTGTCCAGCTTCCCTCTTACCATATAACCTCTTGAGGTTCAAAACATCCTGCTTCAGATTCTTTTATCTTTGTCATAAAAACTCAATGGTCAATGTATTTGATGGTCACACTTATCTGATCTCTCCCTGTAGATTATTCGAACACATAATTTCTGCTGTGCCTTTATACTGTAAGTAATATCTCAATTAACTGAAATCCCCATTAGCTGGAACTCTCCAATAACCAAAATTGAAATTGGCTCAGAATTTTTCGAGAAAATAATCTCAAATCCAAGTCTGTGAACTAGTTTCCGAGGTTGAAAATCAGACGTATTTTCTGTAATATTCCTAGATAGCTTCCGGAAACTGTCCAATTTATTTTCCGAGTCTGGGGGCAAATTCCGAGGCTGAAATAATTCTTAATTCTTGAAAATTCCAGAACCTCTCTCCAACTTTTTCCCTGAGTTTGGGAACAAATTTCCAGGATGAAATAATGTACAATTTCCGGAAAATTTTGAGGATTTCGGATTTTTCCGGGTTTGAGAGAGTCATCTCATTACTCAGAAAACTCTCATCTTCAGAAGAGCTCTGCACCAATTATTTCAGCTAACTAGGACATCACTGTACAGTACAGTGAGTTCTGCTATAACGCGTGTTTTGATAACGCGAATTTGCTCTAACGCGATTTATGAATTAGGAACGATATTTGTATAACGCGAACGCTTGTTTGCTATAACGCGATTTTTGCTTACTATTTCTCCAATTTTGTGGTACAGTGGGGTATGCTATAACGAATCTAATTGGTTCTAGAACCTTGTTCGTTATAGCATTCATTCGTTATAGGATTAATCCCTTCCAGGCCCCCAAATACAACCACTTAACACTGAAAAATATAATATAAAATTGTAAAAATTGTAAAAAAGTGCATAAATATGCATCTAAACCCCTGAAATAAAGAATATCATTAATATTTGTAATAAAAAAACAATAAATTAGAAAAAAAAAAATTTAAATAATGTTCGTTGTAGGAGTTTCGTTCGTTATAGCATTCTCAATTTTATAGGTAAAACCGTTCGTTATAGGAATATTCGTAGTAGGATCCGTTCGTTATAGCATACCCCACTGTATTAACTGTGAATATAGTAAAGAAGAATATCAACAAGAAGCGTTCTGGTGATAGAATTCCCGGTGATGATCGTAAAAGAAAGGATATAACACTTGAAGAGAAGCTCGATTTTATCAACCTCAAAATCACCCTTCTCCCCCATCAAGTAAAGTGTTACATTTACTGTATGATTTCATTATTAGATATGAATGTAACATTTATTTAGACTGTGCTATCCTTTGTGTTAGGCTAACTACTAAATTTTTTCGATTTCGAGTAATCTGCACCTAACCCTATTTTCTCTATATGCCCTGTTATTTCTATTACGCGATTTTCTATAACACGATATTTTACAAGAACACAATTATCGCGTTATAGCAGAACTACCTGTACTTACTTACAGTAGGTTTACTGTTGACAAAGGTTTTGGGCATATGCATGAAGATCAGTTTGTACAGAATAATATAAACTGGTACAAATGGTCAGCTTTTGTGCCAGTAAATTTCTCTTAAGACATTAAATACCATACAAGACTTCAAACCTTATTATATTCAGACTCACTCAACCTTTCCCACCCTTTTCAGATATATAAATTAGTTTTTTATGACTCAGTTTTTTTCACACTAATGAAACTTTCTGAGCTTACTAAAAATTTTAAACAAGAAACAGTAATCTTTGTCAATATATATTTTCTAGGTAATAAAATAAATATATACTGCATGCAGAATAAAGTTGTAACAGAATATAAAGGCGTGCAATAAATCACAGAAAACTGGAGTAACCAAGAACACTGTAATTGGCTAGTGATGATGGGTTGTGGTGTAAGCTGGCCAGAAGCACAGGAGAATTTTCTTTCTCAATCAAGCAGTCAAAAATTGGTTCACAGAGCTGACTAACACAACTAAAAGCATGTTTGGCTTTACTAAACCAAACATTTGTGATTTATACCATGATTATTTTTTTCATTACATAGATTATACCCTTTTAGGTAAACTGTAATGCAAAAATGATTCAAAACTCAAGGAACATGTTAAAGTTGATTTTTTAACATATGGTACAGTAACCATTGAAGTGGTAACTGGTGTAACCCCAACAAAAACAATTAACACTAACTTCTAATATTGTACTACAGTACATAAAAAAACTAATTTCTTCTCAACCTGCAACCAGAACATTAAGTTTTTTTGCATTGACTTTTAGAAACTATTAAAACCAGCAGAATATAATTAGCCCATCAGTGATGATACAAAGATGTTGCTGCACTCCAACAACTGAAATCTTTAAGCCTTTAACAAGGTTACTGATCCCAAGTCTCTTTCTTTAGGTTTTGATCAACGTTGCTAGTGTACCAGGAACAATAAAAGGAATGACAAAATCCTACCTGATGAAACTAAAGTTTCACAAGACAATATATGTTGCTACTCTGAACATTAAAAGGAACAGAAGACCACCCTCAAATTTTTCAGAAACAAATTAATACTGTACATTTTCCCCTTAAACAATCAAGCATTTTCCAACTTTATGTAAGGTGGCTAAAAAGTACATAAATAAGCACACAAATAAACAAACAAACAAACACACTTTCTTTTCAGTTGTTGGTAATCATCCAACAAAACTTTAGTTACTGTGGTGAGGCCAGAGGTCTACAGACAGAAAGATGGACAGCACCTGCCTACCAGTTTTTGTTGCAAGGGATAACAACAAAGTAATGCTGATGTGCTCGACTTTTAAGATGAATCAAAAACTTCCAATGTGTACAAGATCATTCCTGTGTTAACTCGTATTTCTCATCTTTGTGAATATTGTCGCCTATTGCTGAATTTCTAAAACAGGATGGGCTGATATGATGAATTTTTATAACCACAGTACATATTATTATTAAGATTATTATTAATATTTTTATCATGTTTTGCCAAATTATTATTACTATTCTTATCACAGTTTGCCAGCCTATAATATTACATTCACGTGAAATAAGGTTTATATAAAAACTACGAGAAAATTCCATCTTATATTTTTCAGTTAAATATGTCAACACTCCCGAGGTGCTTCCCAGTATGTTGAAGTATTTCCTTTCCCCTCGTGATAAAGACTTTTCCAACATGTAGATGAGATGGTGATGAAAGCAAGTGAAATGAGTTCCAGTTTTGAGAGCAATGTTCACCCAGTCCTTGACACATTCCTGAGGTGTAGTTTTATAGCCTGCGTACATTGCTGGGTTTTCGAGCATTCCTCTTGCTGCCATAACACCTGTTGATATTAGTCGTGTCAGTGTCATAAAATATTTACATAATTTTTGCTTTTATGGGTGACAAATTTCATAACTCCGGAAAATTATGATAAAAACCGGTGATTGAAAACTATTACACAATTTTATGACATACAGGGAGTTATAAAAAATATTTAGTTAAAATTCATAGCTATATGTTTGAGATACTGAGTCCACACACACGCATGCACGCACACACACATGGATGCCTACAATTCATGTCACCCTCCAGCACGTTGGCAAGGTAAAATAACTTATTGTCCATTATGAGACATGCAGATAAAAAATCAAAAGGTACAGGCTATTTAAAACTGCACAAGAATATATAACAGTGTATTAAAACAAACATGGATCACAATACATAGGATCACTGCACTTTTTTTAACCCTAAATCTACACAAATATGCACAACATTTATCCAACTTCATCCAACAAGATATTTCCTTTAATATTGCAGATCTAAGCCCAGCTACACCAGGTTCCTTCACTTTGATCACACATAAGAAAATATCATTCAACTAACAGATCCCCTGATGAGTCTCTCTAAATTTATATTAGGTATACAGAGAAAAGCATCTACTATCTTACATTAAGAAGACACTACACACAGTTGTTAAATCCAGGCAAAATGAGAAGAGCATGAGGAGAACATCACACTTACAACTGGGACAAATTATCATGAGTTGGGGGGTTAACTGTCATGAGGAAAAGTGAATGAATAATGAAAGGGGATATAAGGAGAAAAACAAAGATAATAAAAATAATGTAAAAAATTAGAATATACTTTAGTGAAAGTGATTAAGTGATTGAGTGAATCAAATGCCTACAAGCACAGATGGCTGGAGTAACCAAGATGAAGGTATCATGACAGTAAACACATATCTATATACAGCCACTCCTTGACTTACGACCTACTCGACTTACGACCACCCGGACATACGACCGCCCCAGTCATACCAAATTTTTTTCCAAATTACGTATTTTCGAGTCCCAACACTAGTGATTGCGCTGTGTACTGACAAAATTTTCGTTTGCAATTCCATTTAAAATAGCTGGCAAGCATAAAAGTGAGAGTTTTGTGGTGCTGAGAAGAAAGAGACACCCATTTTAGATTTTCTATGTATTATTTTTGCATTTTCAACCAATTCGACTTATGACCTGGATTTGGGTCCCTAACCCCGTCGTGAGTCGAGGAGTGGCTGTACACTATGTTCATAGGGAGACTTAAGAAAAATAGTTGAAAGACAAAAATCATATTTATGAGCAAAGGTAAACAACGTAAATTTACAAAACTATTGCAACTTTTCAAATATCTCTCATAACACAACCATGAGCTACATTACCCATACCATCAACTCCTGTAACGTGGTGTATCCGGTGAGCATCATCCATAGATCGGACATCACCGTTAGCAACTACTGGAATCTGGAGTGCACTCTTGATATCTGCAATAGCTTCCAGGCACACCGGGTCACCTCGCTGATCCTGAGTGCGCCCGTGAACAGTGATGAAGGACGCCCCAGCAGCTTCCATTTGTCTTGCAAAGTCTACTGTGTGTCTGAAATAATTAAGGTACAAAGTTTTTCATTTTCAATACCAAAAAACAAAAACAGGACCAATATCCACATGTCACAGGTTCAAATTTATTCCCAATTTCATAATTAACTTTCATGGACTTTTTCTGATAAATTTTATATTTGGTATCTAACTCTTGTAAAGTTTTAATTCCAACTGTCATATGATGTGTTAATTTTTTTATGAATGATAGCCATTGTCCCTTGTCCATTTATTGCATTGTCATAATTATGTAGTAGTTTGAGGTAAGCACTGGAGGAAATAATGGCAACATATATACTCCTCTGTCTGGGTTACAGGTCACACAGGAATGGTTCGTCAGCTTGTTTGCTCATTTCATCAAAACGGGGATCAGCTGAGAATCCATACACCTTGCATTATAAACCTTTTTAATATGTTACCCTCTAGTCCAGCCTTAGATTCATAGTACAGTACTGCATATTGTATTTACATAATCTGATCATACAATTTTAGTACTCATCTTATTTTTAATATCTATATTAGTTTGACTAGGGCAGTTTATTTGACTATTGTGATAGAGCCTGTGCCCCAAGCCAACTTGGCAACTGCAAGGCCAGGACATTCGCTCTTCACTCATCTATGTGTCTGGTGGTCACTGTTGGCAAGGTTTGACTCTTTCTTCCTAGGTTAGCTATAGGGGTGAGAGATCTAAGTCTATTATTTCTCCCACATAGGCAGAAGTATTCAAAAGTGTTTAATTTAAAACTCATGTATATATTTAGAATTTTATTATACAATATATATTTTTTTCCTTGCAATAGAGTATAATTACACAACCCAGCACCCGCCTTTTGTTGCAGTTATCACTGGCTCAATAAATCATTATACAGGTTGTACTCATATAGTGGAAACATGTGTGTATATTGTACTCCAAAGCTGGTCAATAATTTAGGAATGTTCTGGTGATTAAACATTAAGAAGGAGAAGTCCAATTAGAACGGAAGAGCGTCCTGCAGGTTATAACTGGCTGTGACACAATTTTGCAACATACAGTATACAATTATACACAGCTACAAAAGCACTGTAAGTATTGTATATAAAATATTGTGGTAACACGATGAGATGTACTTATTACTACCATGCTATTGTACTATTCCAGATGATACTAAATGTTACATAATACTTCCTTGAGATAAATGTATAGTATATATCAGGTGCCTCAAAGAGAGCTCAGGTTCTCAACTGGCTCAGCCATGTTAATAATGTTATTATTATCCACTCTGTATCTGTGTTTTTCTGGCTAAATAAACTGTTTCAATTCAATTCAATTCAGTACTGGGTTTTCTCTTATGTCATGCACTACAGGAAAATTAGTTGTTTTTTCAGATGAGGGAATCAACACATCAGTAAAGATTGGATGACAAAAACCACTGAGGTCTGTAGACATCACACCTCTCAGTTTCTTCCTCTGAGCTCACCTAAAATTTGTTATCTTGTAAGATCGTCCGAGAGCCATTTATGTGACCCCAGAGAAAGAAATTGAGAGGTGTGATGTCTACAAAAGTCAGTGGTTCTTGTCATCCAATCTTTACTGATGTGTTGATTCCCTCACCTGAAAAAAAAAAATCAAATCTTCATCAAAATTATGTGAAACACATACAGTATGTCAACACTTTACTTTATGATTCTGAACTCTGCTGATATGCTACAATATCATTGTTTAGTACAGTACATAAACACTAAACAGTCACCTTTACAAAGTCACTTACATATTTGGTTACATCCCACAATACTAATGATTATGGAAAATGGCAACCATCTCCGCATGACTCTTAGCTTATGAAGCTCTTTCTTATGATTCATAACTCTTATAAACACTTTCCCACTCTGGTACATAATGCCTAGACTCAAACTCAAATGCAGTCTCACTCTTCATTTGTTGACATTCATGTATTCAAACTGTTATAACAGATGTGTTCTGCTATAGAAGTATATATTGTACTGTACATTGCCCTGAAAAGATAATCAATATTTTTTATTCATTTTGACATTGAAACAAGATGCACTTTTGTCTGGCAGTATACATGAGGTTTGTTTACAATAGACTTATCAGTTTGGCTAATAATGAGCAGAGCTGCACGTTAAAAAATAAAATGTGTCAAGACATTGTCACTCTAAACCTGAGTTTTGGATTACCAAACCCTATTAGTAACCACAGAAGTTGTAATAGTTTACAAATTTCCTCTCACATAATTATCTACTTCAGTATGAAACATATGTGACTAATCACTCCCAATAATCTGGTTCAGGACCATATTAAGACACCAGAGATTATCATTTGAAAGCTTGAATTCAGCTTTCTATAATGCTATACAAACAAGAATAAAATATTTCATTCCCTTAAAGCTTGCTGGGGTTAGGTAAAATGGACCCTGTGAGAATGCAAAATCTGCGAGTTTTTCATGCCAGCCCCAGGAGTGTGCAAAATACATATACTGTATACTGTAAATAGCTACTAGTACTGTACACATGTATAACAACATTATGTATGCATAAGACAATATGATAAATTATGAAATAACAAGTAAATAAACATAAACATGGAATAAAACTGAATGGACATTAAGTCCATACAGTGATAGTTGTGGTAGTGACAATGCAAAGACAATACCTCTGAAATGTCAGCTGATCTGGTGCACAGGATGTAAACAATCCCTGTACTGGACAGTTCCTAGTGAACATGCCCGGTACCGATAAGTATTTGTAATGTGTATACCGTAAGTACCTATACGTATAATTATATCCTTTTGTATTAAATTAGGTAAATTTTATTAATAATACCAACAAATGTTTGATAATAGGTCCATAAAGTGATAGTGAGCTGTGGTAGTGAGAAACATGATAGCATATAGCCAGTGACTAGGCTTTGCCAGTACAGTAGACTATTAAATCTGCAAAAATTCTTTTTCCAAAATATACCTCGCTAATTATAGGGTGCATCTTATGACCTGGGAAATATGGTGCTGTTTACTGTCCTGTAGTGTTGACTCCTCTTGATCCCTGGCACACAGCCTCTGAGTTTCCATGGGACGCAAGCTTTAAAACTGCGAGCTTTAAGGGAATACTGTACTGTACAAATATTCTTACAGTCTTTCCAAGAGAGTAGAGTAATCCACTACAATTATATGTGACCAGGGCTATGTTCACCTTGTTTCACCTACAGCTCATATTAGTATGCAATACCTCACTCCTTAATATGTATAACATGAACATGACTGTCACTTTTGCCACACATTACAGACATCACCCCCCCCCCCCTTCCCCACTTCCCCAATTAGGTACAAACATGGATTGTCATTCAAACTAATATGGACAAGTAGCCTGGTAAGTATATGATTCAGAGCTGTCTTCTTCCTCATTACTGAAGCTTCTGTGCCTTTAAGACTGAGAAAAGTGTATTGTTGATCAAGGAGGTGATCATATTACAGTACTGTAGTTGGTTTGATAAGAGTAACCTTAAATATCTTTTAAAGTAGGATCAGGTGTAAGGTTTAGTAGGTTATGCCCATGTAGTATCTCATTCTCTCCCATGTATTGTAGTCTCTCTCACTCATGTAGTCTCTCACTCTCTCCCCTTTACCAGTGATCCTCCACTTACTCATCTTCCAATCACTTGAGAAAATGTTTGCTATTGTAAAAATGAAGACTGGTGAAAAAATATCAACTAATGCTGCACTGTATTAAGATGACTATGCATGATGGGAGAGTCTGTGTTTATTACTAAATCTGGCATTCCTGAACGATAGTGGAAGAGGGCTTGTATAAGAAAGAAATATATACAGTATAAAGAAATATACAAACCCTCAAAATACACTTATATAAAACTTAAATAATACAAAACAAATATGGTAAAAAATAGCTTACTTATAATCTTTGTGGAGCCTGATCTTGATAGACACAGTAAAGTCGGGATCGGTGACAGTGTTACGGGTCTGGTGTATCATATCGGCCACGAGGTGAGGTTTGTGGATGAGGCAGGCTCCGTAGCCCTCGGCCATGGCCCAACGCTGCGGACACCCACAGTTTAGGTCAACACCATCGCAATAGCTGTGGAATTGTAGAAGATATTGTAACACATCCCCTTGCTCGCTGTCTGCCAGTATAAAAATCTCTAGAAGTCCTGGTGCAACATAGCGGTGGCAGTCACCACTTCCTGCCTCCCCCATGCTTCAACTTGTTTCCGTAACACCAGATAACATCACAGCAGGAACCAATCACATTTTAGAATCGTAAGTCCCGCCTCCACAAGCTTCGCCCAATACGAAGTTTTAAAAGTGGTTGCATGGCTTGGGAGCTCAGAATTCTGTGGATTTTCAGTTGGCTCTTCTTTCTTCAATGTGTTAACCTGTGGTGGTCCTTCTTTCCAGCGCATTCTCAAGTCTCATCAAGGCCAACTAACTTATGCTAAGTCCTTTCAGGTGTACAATAAGTACACATGAAAGGTTTAGGGATGTGTCAGCCTTAGATATGGGCTTATTGTAACAATTGTAACCTACCTGTGAACCTTCCCAGTGATTATTTCTCGATTAAGACACAACACTTATTCTCCTTGCCCAGTGATTCTTACCAAAGTGTTAACGCGCATTTCTCAGTCTGAGGCCATCACAGTATTTATACAGCTCCTCCCCAACTTACGACCACCCGCACTTACGACCAGCCTCGGTAGTACCAAAATTTTGTCAAATTACGTATTTTCGAGTCCCAACGTTAGTACACAGACAAAATTTTCGTTTTTAATTCACTTTAAAATGGGAGACAAGCTTAAAAGTGAGAGTTTTGTGGTGCTGAGAAGAAAAATAGACACCCATTTTAGATTTTCTATGTATTATTTAAGCATTTTCGACTTACGACCTGGATTTGGGTCCCTAACCCCGTCGTAAGTCGGGGAGGAGCTGTACTCATATTTCCTTTATATATCTATGTGTTTTCAGTGTTCATACTTTTCTCCCTTTTATCAGTGATTTTATTATTTCTCTCTTGTATCAAGTGATTTATCACTTTTAACTTTTTATATAACTTTTTGTGTGTTTATTTGTTTGCAAATATTAAGTATAGTTAAAAGAAAATTACTACAAGTTTAATTCCCCTTCATAAGTGATTTATTCTCAGTCTAGTAACTTCCATTTATTATTTTAGAATTTTATCTGGATCACATCTTTATTTGTTTATGAGTGAAATTTATGGTTAATGTTCTTGCCTAACCTTAGACTTTAACCTGTGACAATAACAATGCTTCAATAGATCCCCATCTCCTACAAAACACACATCCCCTCTCTGTCCATCTGTCTTGTCCTCATTATGCCTCTATCTACCGGTAATTCCAATTCATCTACCTTAAATAAATTTTTCACTACTGTACCTTTGCACACAAGTATATACACTTGGCCATAATTCACAACACTTGGCCATAATTCACAACATTTAACTTAAGAACTGATCAACATGCCTAAACCAATTCGTGTGACTGTTTATTTTCAACTAGATATGAAGCGTGTATGACCAGAATGAACAAAGTGCCAGAAAATAATGGAGACCTCTGGCACTTTCTTTGTGATCTGCTGCCTGCCACCCTCACTGCCCGTCACTTTTATTCTGAGTCTCTCTTGGGATACAAAGGTGGTTTCTCTATCCTTTTGTGAATAAATATTGATTTTGACCATAGTGGCACTTTGTCCACTCTGGTTGTACATGCCTAATACCTATTTGATTGATGAAGCAGATAATGAATTTTCTTGCCTGTTTTTCATAATTGCATAAAGGTACTTAAATCATGATAATCACTCTATGTCATACTTCTCATCAAAATAATACTGTAGTGTCATTATTTTCAAAATCAAAGGTTCATTAAACAAAATAGACCATCCTATAAAATAACTTAATCAATTAAGCATTTCTTTATAATCTCCCCTCCCCCCCAGGTTGTCCCCCTGAAAAGGTAAACACTACAAGATACACACTGGAGATGAGGATGGTCTTCTCATGATGTTATTGGCCACAGCTCCATAAGCTGTCTATATGTACAGTCGGGGTAAAAAATCTTGAACACTTGGCAATATCTGGCATCTACATCTGAGTTATACATTCATGGGTGGGATATACTGATAACACTACTTGTCATCACATATTATGCCTGAACCACAAAATGAGATAAAACTCTCCTTAATACCTAAGATCTTCGGGTACTTACATGCCAAATACTGTCAAGTGTTCAAGACTTTTGACCCCGACTGTACATCTATATACAGTTGTAAAGTATATTGGTGGTACTGTACCATACTAGATTTGGTGGACATTATGTAACCAAAAGATAAGTAGTAGTAGTAGTAGTACCTGTACAGTGATATCCCCGTTACCCAGAACAACTGGTGCAGAACACTTCCAGGAGTCAGAGATAATGACACCGACTCTCTCAAACCCGGAAAATATCTCCCATCCCTGTAATTTTTCCAGATACAGTACTGTACGCAATGGGAAAATTTTCTTAAAATTTTCAAGAAATTGTGTATTATTTCATCCCTGGAATTAGCTCCCAAACCCTGAAAAAAAAGGAGAGCGTTTCTGAAATTTTCTTGAAATATTCCACAATGACACATTATTTCATCTTCAGAATTTGTTCCCAAACCCGGAAAAAAAATTGGAGAGAGTTTCTAGAATTTTCAGAAAAATGTGCCTGATTTTCAACCTCAGAAAATCGTTCCCAAACCCAGAATTAAGAGAAATTTTCGAAAAAATTTCTGAACAAATTTCATTTCCAACTAAAAGGGATTCCAGCTAAGACAGATATTGCTACCATGAACCTGAGTCGCTCTCTTATCCTAATCTCACAGCCTCTCATTACTGGAATTAAGATATGGGATACAATTATGAACAATGAGATCAGAAGGAGATATTGCATTTTGAGAGAAGTTAATGATTCGGTAAACTTGTTCCAAAAAGTATCATTAAAATTTTTTGTGTCAGACAAGATGACACAACTGAAAAAAAAAAGGATTCTGACAACCCTACTGTACGGTGTTTATTTTGAAATTCATTATACCCCTCTGTAAACATACTTTTTGTAGCGAGTGTACAATACATGTTATTCCAGAATGCACTAAGGTCCAGGAGAATTGGTATAAACTAGAATAAATATGGAAAAAATGATGATGATGGAGTGAGGTGCACAAGAAGTGAAAGTTTGTCAAACCTCCCAAAGAAATTTAGTAACTAGTGTGTGTGTGTTAATGCTTGTACTGTACAGTGCTAGTACTGTACACTCGCTTCAAAAGGTAGCTTTATGGAAGGGTCTGATGAATTTTAAAATTAACACAGAGACTCCTGTTGTCTCATTAGGGTTATCAAAACCTTCGTCTGTTGTGTCATATTGTCTCACACAAAATCATAAAGATACTTTTTGAAATGAGTGTACAGTACCTGTACATACAAAAGCAACTTGTTGTAGATGAGAAATGTGTTACACATGCAGACATATTACACACAGTATTCTTCATGTGACATACTCACGGAGCAACTAATTTTGTAGCTTGAGCCCAATCTTCACCTTTACTTGCTGCAAACTGCACAACTAAAGGGCGGTCCTCTGAAAAATTGCATTTGTTATATTATTCTTGGTTCAGTACTATATGTTTGTTATTTATACCTGTAATGAATTGAGCTCACATGCTTAGGAACTTATAAACATTAAAAAGGCAGGAAAACAGACACAAAATCACAAGCAAGATACTGTACTGTACAAATGAGAAGAAAAAAAAATTAAAAAATTTCCTTCAAAAGATAACTATAGCATACAAACATATTACGTACTTGTTACATCATTATTACAGGTAGTAAACTGTACAATAGGTTGTAAGAATTATTAATCTTTAATAATTTTCTCAACTGAAACTTTGACTTCTCTCAGAGATGATGTGAATAAAATAGTATAGTGTACACTAAAAGTTTTTACCACAAACAAAAAAATAAAAATGTTCAACTCAAACTTTGCTTCCTTTCAGAGAAAGAATAAATAAAACAATAGTTACATGCACTGTACTGCAACAATGCTTTTCAAACCATTAAAACTGAAGCTTTGTATGATGACTAAGAGAAAATACTGTATAGAAAAGAGTAAGGTATATACAGTACTGTACAGTACTGTATATACCTTCGTCACAACAAAAGATTTAAGTTACTTCCTCATCTATTTTATGAACACTATAAATTATATTTTCTTTATACTGTACCTGTATACTGAACACCATCTTTTCCTATTTTTGCTAATTTCTTCAAATTACAAATCATTTACCAGTACAGTACTAACCTATTATAAACATATTTTACAGGTACAGTATATATTGATCTCAGCCATACCTGCACACCCGCAGATATGATAGAAGTATTTAAGTGGGTGAAAGGAATCAATAAAGGGGATATAGATAAAGTTCTTATAATATCCGAGCAGAATACGACTCGTAGCAACGGATTTAAGTTGGATAAGTTTAGGTTTAGGAGGGAGATAGGAAGGAACTGGCTCACAAATAGGGTGGTGGACGAGTGGAACAAGCTTAGCAACTTTGTAGCAAGTGCTGGAATGCTGGAAAGTTTTAAAAGGAGGCTACATAAATTCATGGATGATAGAGAGTGGTAGTAACTCTCGACAGGAGCTGCCATGCACAGGCCAACCGACCTATTGCAGACTCCTTATTTTCTTATGTTCCTATCCCTTTTTCCTTTAATGATATTATCGGCACATTACACACTAAAAATTATTCCGGGTCCAGAGACACTACAAAACAAACAAAAAACTCACCTTTACATGTAGTGAAATCACTATGTCTGGCCCGAATGGACTGTATGAAGCAGTCACTTATAATCATAGGAGTGAAGCAGAGATCACACCCATACTTCCTCACAAGTGATCGAAATGCCAGTCTGTAAAAAAATAAAAAAATAATCACAATGAGACATAAAACAAAAAAGATACAGTACATATGGCATGTTAGCAAGTGTTCAATTCACCTCAACACTTTTAAAAATCTTACCACAATTATTTATGTAAATATGAAAAAAAATTACTGAAAAAGGGACATGACCAAAGATACTATATTTTAGGGATATTCTGATGTACGTACTGTATAGGGTATTTTCAAGAATTTTTTTAATAACTGGAAAGCAAAGTTCCAGAAGGTAGTTCGTTAACCAAAACCATTGTTTCAATGGGATTCTAGGTAATTGGTTCCAGCTCACCGAAAATTACATACAAAGTAAAAATAAATGCAGTAAAGTACACTTACTTTGAGGTGTGTATGTAGAAGGGTCCTGGTTAATGATGATGCTGATGGGAATTAGAAGTGGGGGTGGAGGAGAAGGGAGAAGAGAAGGAAGTGGGGGTGGAAGAGAAATCACCCCACGCTTCATGCCGTCATTTCACCCATGAAATTTTAAGTTCACTAGGTGTAATTCAAGATTATTTTCTTTAAATCAACACTGCACTACACTATATACAGTATTGTCAATATGTTAAATAAATTTCATTATGACCAATAATTGAACAGTAAAAACATAAAAATAGTTTATGTTCAAGAGAGCCACAAGCAAGATGTTACCTCCACTGACCAGAGATACAAACTGACCGCCTTGGTGGGTGAGTCAAGTGGCTGATTGGCGCACCAAAAACTAGTTTCCTGTACTCCAATTATGTTAAATAAGTGTTAAAATGACTAAAAATTTTAATATAAAGCTTGGAAAATTATTGAATAGTACAACCTTCTTGATATTTACTCAAATGGGAATGAATTTAGGCCCTAGAACCGATTACTGTATTGGTGGACTAATAATCCAGCTGGTGAGCAAGCGAAAACATGTTGACATGATTTCGTAAGAATTTCGTGAACCAAATTTTTTTCGTTAACCGAATTGAAGATTCTTATGGAAGGTAATTCGTTAACCGAAATTTTGTTAACCGAGGGATCACTGTACACCAAATATTATATGTACAGCATAACATAATTTTTCTACAAAAACTCAAATTAATATTCTCATTTTCCTTCTTAACTGTGATACTGTCATCAAGAACCTGTACTGCATTACCATTTACTATTACAGGTGGTCCCTGGGTTACGAACTGGTTCTGTTCCTGAGGACGTTCTTAAGTCGGAACACATGCTATGTGCATACCATACATACAGAATAGTGTTTAAAATCCCACATTATCACAGCCTAAGTCCTTATATACATCTAAAATTCCTTAATTTAAGAGAAAAGAAGAAATAGAATGACAAAATACAGTAAATAAAAGTAAAAAATAAGTCATCAGGAAAATGAAATTCAGTACTGTACCCTGTACTGTAAATTTAAAGTTTAACCCCATTCGTATCGGCGTTCGTTCGTAAATCGGGACCCCCTGCATACAAATATAGTGCTGTAGCTAAATATGTGATACTGTACAGTACATATGAGTATGCAACATTGTGCTATACAAGGCTCTTCAAGCATTATTACAGTCTGAAGTTAAAGAAGTTTTCTGAATTGAAAACTGTCAGAGCTAACTTCACTGGGTTACTGTATAGATTAGTCATGTGCTTTAATTAACTACCAGTACCTACTGTAGGACATCTCACTGTGTTTTCATCATATATTTATACAGCACATATATTTTTTCAATTTCATTTAAGAAATTGCAATTTGGATCACACACAGTGGGCAGGGCTCTGAAGTAGAGGAAAATTGTGGGGTGAAAACATGCAAAAAATAAACTGACGAAATCAAACCTAACTACAGTATTACAGAAAAATTTAAAAAAGTGTAATACAGTACAGTACTGTATATAAGAGCAGGCACCAGGGTTAAGGAGCTGAGTTATGGGGTGTTGGTGGTACAGTGGTAATATGTGTAACTCTCACCAATGTCTGGAGTTCAAGCCTTGGCCTGGACACACGTGAGAAGGGTGTTATCCAGTGTGACCCTACCAATCATCACAGGCTTCCTAGTCCTCGGTTTTCCCCTATACTAACATTGGATAAACCAATTGTCCAACTGGTCAGTAAGCTGATAAGTGGCAAATATGATTAAAACAAAAATAATAGTAAAAAGTTTTCAGTTTATCAAGAACATCCCCAAAATGGTGGAGAACTAAGTTTTTGCCAAATAAAAGGATCAAGAACCTAACCTCATAACTCTCAAATATCAGTATACAGTACTGTACAAGTCTAACCTAATACTGTTTAACCATAGAAACCATAAGAACCTGACTTAACCTCTAATTGAAAGGGGCTCTGTGTAAACCTAATGTAACCCAACAAAAGAAGACATATAGGAACCTAAAGAAACAAATCTGAAATTAAAAAGTCAGAACAATTCAAAATAATAAATTTATGGCAAAATTGTCATAAATCATTGCAATATTTGTACAGTATTTGGATGGGGGCATAAGGTAAGGCACCCGTTTGTGAAATGTTAATGACTATTGGTACGGCAGCCTAATGTGCGTGCGTGGTGAGCAGACTATATAGTTACTAAGATGGCATTCTTTCTTTCTGATTTACCTGACCTAACTTAACCTAACCATTAACAACACAGTCCATCAAATGGGAGTTGTACCTATATCCAGTGTGATTTTTGGTGTCCATTTTATTTTTTTGGGGGGGAGGGGGGGAGGAGCTCTGTCTCCCTACAGTATATAAAAATCAATATAGAGTTCTGTGGCTGACCTTTTCTAAATCTTAACTGAAAGCATTAATGTTCTATGTTGAAATTTAATACAGTAATGAGGTGCACAACTCATGTAACTCCCCTCAGAGTAACCTACCAGCGTTGTGATGGAGAGAGTGAGCTCATTCAAGGTCAGATTTGACCAACACTACTGCAGGTACAGATATATTTTGGAGCCAGTACATGTCCAGTACTTGCCAACAGTGTGTAACAGAGACGTGACCGACCGCCTCAGTGACTAAGAGTGTGATCAGTGGCAAAAAGGATAAAGTAAAAGGAAAGTACGACCAGACTTGACCAACAACTTACCTAAACACTCTTCTGAGATACTAAGGTTCAGTATATTAAGTTTGGGCTAATATGGAGGACTTCACAGCCACTTCCCCTGTTTCAGTAAGTTAGCCCACGGCAGGTGTTTATGCCAGATTATGCTAGGTTAGGTTAGGTTAGGTTAGGTGAGGTGAGGTAAGTTTAAGGTTAGGTTAGGTTAACTAAACTTGAACTTTTAAATAAACACTTTTTGACACATTTGCTATAGTTGCAACATTGTCCACTATAAAACACAGTAAAATTGCAGCATTTTTATATTTGTTTTCTATGAAAAACCAGCGGCTGTGAAGTTATAAATAATTACTTCCTATGGTTCTTGTTATTCGAACAAATCTGACCTTCGTTTCTGGTGCTAACTTCCCATTTTCGAGTTACCCCCCCCCCCTTCCTCCATGACAGGGATGGGGGAAGGACCTAACCTAACCTAACCACTACTATCCTAAATTGACCATAATGGTAATGCAAGCCATTAAACAAATCACAAACATCATTCTCCTCAGTTCATTGTTTACATATTGCCGAGAACAGAGCTCTTCAAGGGGAAGTTATTTCTCGTCAGCGCAGAGAGTGTCATAGAAGGAATTGGTCTTATTTTTGTTAGGTAATGTGGTTGCAAACAATAAAATAATGGAATTCAAAACCTGGCTATTATCCTAAATTGACCTTTATATTAACATCCCGTCCGGTTAATATTGATGACTGGCCCGCAGACGAGTTATTTGTTTTATTTTTTATTTTCTTACTTTATTTTCATCTGTGAGGTTTGTTTGGTTAGGTTGGTGAGATCTAACAATGCTTCCACTGCTTGTTTTTCATATCAATTAAATTTAGGTTGGTTTTAATTTATAAATAACCACTTTTTAACACATTTGCATAAACTACGACAGTGTCCACTATAAAACAGTGAAATTGCGGCATTTGCATAATAGCTTTCTATGAAAAATTGGCCGTGGCTCACTTACTTGGAGTAACGGACCATAGGTGCACATATTGTAACTAATTCCTTGTTTTTGAACAGTTCCAGCGGTTTCATGTAGGGCGTGACAATTTCACCCTCATCCATGTTAATTAATACCAAATACTTGAAGATATTTATTGTACAAATAATACAACTTGAACTGTTGACGAGAACCATAACATAAAACAGTACGGAAGTATTATAAAGTTGAAATAAAAATATTCTACACATTTTACTTATTTCTCTCTATTAATTTTAACTAAAACACTTTAATCAATCAGTAAAAAAAAGCATAAGGATTAACAGGTGATTTAAATAATACTTTGAGAAATTATTTTTATGCCGTAGCCCCTGTAAGGGTATAATGTTATGACGTCATGACTGCGTTAGATAAAACTGAATATTTTCCTTTTGTTCTTAAGGGATATGGCTGAAATGAGTACTACAATGGCCTGTGGTGATCAAGCTTACAATATCCGATTTGTTCAAGAGATAAAGAATCATCTGTGCATTTATAATTACACACTTGCAGATTACTCAATAAAAAAAGCCACAGACAACTCATGACAGACAGTAGTAATTGAATGAGATACAGACAAGTATAGTTATATTGATAAACATCCATATACAGCCTAGTGCCAATTTATAGAAAGTGTCAGTTAAAATGGACGATACTGGCAAGTATTTTTGCAGACATGACACTGGCCATGTCACTGGTTGGATTTTACACAATATTTCCATTACCAGGGTTAAGCTGCTGCAGGTTTTACAGGGTAATTTGCAAAATGACCTCTGATTGACTTTGTCCTTAACTTAGCTGTTAATGTATTTATATCTGTTACATCAGGGTCGTGTATATCATCGATATCTGGCTCTTCAGGAGAAAGGTGTAGCTAATACCCGTATAGACGCCCTTCGTTTTTCTTAACATAGTTTTGTAGAACACAGGCACATCGAGTGATGTTGATATTGGTAAAATTTGAACAAGCAATGGGTGACATGCACTTGATTTTTTTTACATCATTCCAAAAGTGCATTCGATAGTTTTTCTACATCTACTTATTCTATTATTAAATATTCTTCTTGTATTTGTAAGTTCTCTTTGGACATGGTATCATTATATATGGTTTGAGGGGAAATGCTTCGTCGGGCACAAAATAATAAGGAAAACCTGTCAAATTCCCATCAAATGGTAGAATTCCAGCAGTGGGAAAGTTAAGTCCTCACCGTCACAACCTCTCCCAACATACCCTGCGTCAATCATTGTAAATAGCCCTTCAGCATCACAACATGGCTTAAGTATAAACGAATGGTATGATTTGCAATTAATGTTTGTAGATACTGAACCGGGAGTTATGGGAAATTCCAGAGATGGGGGAAACGTTCTGGGGTTCCTAGCACTGGCATATATTCTGATGGAAATTCTCCTATACAGCTTCTGTTGTCTCAGCAACAATCTTGTTGATAATATTATCACCGCTCACAATGTGGGATGGAAGTGCTTTGAACGTCATTCCCGAGGCCATATGCATTTAAATCCTTTTTTCCCATTTTTTACAGTGCACAATCGCAAGGAAAGGTGGAGACATTTTTGCACGGTATTTGCACGTAAAATGAAACTCCCACCTAGTGGATCTGGCAGGAGCAGCACAAAACCTCATTACTTGATGGATGTTATGCAGTTCCTTCTGTCATATGTAAAAGTACATCAACCCTCCTTTTCCTACGCTGCATATACCACAACACCACATCCTCCTCGTCTGGCGGCAATGTTGCTACTTGAAACTTGTTCGATCTGGTGAACGGAGGTCAGTGGAAGATCAGCTTAGGTCTTTCACTGCGAGTTGATCAATCCAACTTATCATTCGTGTTAACGCCATCACTGCTACACCGCCATTTTCCAAATCGTAAAACTAACAAACCCAACTAAATCTAGATTAAAACCCAAGGAAAAAATAACCTCACCTAATATTAGTGTTTGGTTTTCCTACAGAGTTTTACGCCGCCAACCTGACCTCGCGAACTATGGCACCGGGTTATAATATTCTAAGGAATATACAAGAACTACAAATAAAAACAACAAGGTTAACAGGACAGGTATAAAAATATCGAAAGTTAAAGAGTTGTGTTTGTAAAGCACATTAACGATTTGGGGGCTCTGGAACCACATATTTTTGGACCTTTCAACGAGACAATTCTTAAGTCATGTAAATTATTAAAACTATATAAGAGTGCTTAATACATTTTATTTCTACAGAATATCTACATTTTACTTTCTTTCCCTTAGATACTTAATGGCCACCATCTTGGGGCGGTCGTGCCGAGGGAAGGAGGCCTCTTGTTTTTTATAATATTGCCAAGAATTATTTTGAAAACTTTACACGTCAAATCTACCAAGTTGATTCAATTACAGTACACAACTACCAGTCAATTACTATTACAGCGTTTGTGATGCATTTTGACACGTAAAATTTGTTTTTCTTATATGAATTTAGAAAACAATATTTCTGAACATCCATTTACCAAGATACAATAACAAGTCAAAAGTCGTGAATGTGAGATAAAGAGCACATCATAACACAAGTCCCCCTGCAGACACGGGTGAATGGGGAAACGATATTTTGCGCGGGAATACAAGTTAGGAGCACAGCAGAAGAGTGTTTGTCAGACGGTGAGGGGTAACCATAATATTTAGGTTGGTTCCTGAGCTATAAACCAAGAAAACGACCCTCTCTACACACAGGCACATCAAGAGCGGTGATGTAATGGTGCTATACCCAGAGTAAACAGTCTCCATTATGCGGGGAGATAGTTGTAGCATTTACTAGAACTCGCGCTGCGTGATGTACAGCTTCCTTGATTTTTTTTTATATAATCGATTTCACTTCTCAGATCTATTTACACCAGACTAATCTTTCGATATGTAGTAGGTAGTAGGCAGCTACCAAACAGGGAGGTACTACCGCCTAGGAAGATATTGGAAGAATAATGTATTGTCTAATGGTAGACCCTGCTGCCATATGGCGTCACAAAAATTGTGACCAAGTCCCAGGTTGCTGATCTGACTTTCTGCCTCATTTCACACAATTGCAGGGTCTCAATTATTTCTTACTATTGACAACACAACAAACTGTATAGCGTTTCTCACTTTTTATTTTTATTTTATTTCTTTATTTTTATTATGATTACAGTGTTGTTATTATCATTCATTATTTTATTATTTTATTTTCAATCTTGTAATTTTTATTAAAATTTATTTACTATGAATTATTATTATTATTATTGTTACATTTTCGCTTCCCAGGCCCCGATGTGGGTCAGTGACCTGTGCCCGGAGGGGCTAATCCCCGCAAAAAAAATCTCGATATATATTCATAAGTAACTTCTGGTTACATTTCATTAGTGTGTGTGTGTGTGTGTGTGGTGTTTTTGCGTATCACTCGCTAAAATCAGACCAGCAGGCCTTTAGCGGAGTTTGTATTTTTACGACACACACACACACACATATATATATATATATATATATATATATATATATATATATATATATATATATATATATATATATATATATATATATATATACTAAAAGAAAGGAAACACCTACAGACAGACACCCCTGAAACATTAAGGCAATCTTGACGTCGTCAGTGATGTGGGCGTCACACATCCTCAGATAATGGTGCTCAGTATATTCCTTTTTTGTGTATACATGTGTGTTTGTCCTCAACACTTAGGTCATGACTGCGTCTGTAAGTGACCTTTCAAGTGTAAGTGAATCACCAGAGGAAGGAGGGATGTGAGGATGTTGCTAGGCTAATACAGTGAGGTGGTGTTACACTGTATTTCATCGTCAGGTGACAACACAACACTGACCAACTATTAACTGTCAACCAGCTTTGACACTGAGTTTTATGGTTTGCTGTCTTCAGTTACACAAACATTAACAAAGATTGACTGAGCAGTATCTAGCTATTCTGTGTACACACTTCATTCTCACTCGGGATAACAACTACTGTACAACAAGTACAATAACCTGCTGTACTAACTGGTCTCACTGTCATCCTTATCTACATACGCTTCTAAAAAAAACACAAACATAACTTCAGAACTAAGTTTAATGTGCCAACAATTATAAACTAGTTTCTGACTTCTTCCTAAAAACATTAATACCAAGAAATACTCGCCTAAGAAAACATTAAAGTGCAATAACCTCGCCTGCTAATTTCATACATAAATAACTTTATCCACAACACTTCCACAAACACTCAGAATTAGCGCGCCAGAATAGTGATCGTAAACAAAATTCTTTCTGAAGGCAATAATACCAAGAAGTAAAGTACAATACCCCGGCGTAGTGAGGATGCGGTGGGCGCCGGTGTTTACAATTCTTAGAAATAGTGTAGGCGGCCCTGGAACACCGAGTGAGTCAACAACGTTTGTGTGATTCAGTCGAATTCCCAGAAGGCAGCGCGCGCCTCCTGACGTAGTGATGACTCAGCCCACGAGGAACTAACCCCCTACCCTCCCCAACCAACAACCCAACCACCCCTACCCTCCCTTCCCTGCGTTCATCCCATCAACCGCCACCTCCCTCCCTCCCTCCCTTCAACAACTCGTTTCCTCCTCCTCCTCCACAACACGGATGTAATTTAACACCACTGAACAATTTTAGATTCAAATCTATAACAAGATAAGATCAGTTTTGGATATTGAGTGTGGGTAAAGTAAGTTGTGTGTGTGTGTGTGTGTGTGGTGATACCTGTAGTATGAAATTATCAAGTTGACGGTTTAACCCCACAAAATATACTGTACCTGTATGTATCATAAAAGTATTGATTAATCTGTATTTGTTCCGGGTAAATATTAAAGCGATAGACAGTGTATGTAGAGAATATTCAAGTAAAATGCTATATACTTTTAACTCTAAAATTCCCGCCCATTCATGTTTAATATTTACCGGTGCAGTACTTACTATGTGTCGTTCTGGGTGAAAACTTCCTATCATTTATATTGAGGCTTTAGCTGTTTCTATAATATTATTATTCAGTACTACAGTATTCAGAACTCTATAATAGCACACGGCATCTCGATCTGCCCATTGCTTGTCCATTCTTCACAGGAAGGTCAAGCGTTTCTGAGACGAGATCACCTGCACGGGTCAGCTGATCTACACGTCTA